AAGAAAGAAGCAGAGAGTCACTTCTTAAATATGAAATGAATTTTCTTTTTCATTTATTTTATTTTCAATAAAAGGAAGAAAATACAACATTTCATTGTTGTATTGACTATTTCAGAATATCTGAATTTCTTTTTTGGGTAGTGAAGTCAATAAAATACCATCACTTGTTTAATACTTCACCTTTTTTTAAATTTAAACCAAAACATAAAAAAATCAATCAACAAAGAAACTTTGAATGTCCATTAAAAATGAAGTTATAAAATTAATTGTTTTTGGAGGTGTTTTTGGGGTAGGTAGTTCAGCCATTGTAATTCAATTTGTCTCAGGTCATTTTGTTGAACTTTATGATCCCACTTTAGAAGAAATTTATACAAAAGACATTCAGGTAGATGGTGAAACAGTGAAATTACAAATAACTGACACTTTCAATTCAGATGAATATGAGGCACTGAGATTCCTCAACATAAGCATGGCAGATGGATTTGTATTGACATATTCTATTACATCAAAAGAATCACTTGAAGAAATAAAAGGAATTTATGAAGAAATTTATCGAGTTAAACACAAAAATAAGAATGAACCAATTCCAATTATTATAGTTGGAAATAAATGTGACTTAGAAAATGAAAGAGAAGTAACAAAAGAAGAAGGTATGAATTATGCAGACAATATCAACTGTCCATTTATTGAATGTAGTGCTAAAACAAACGAAAACATCAATCAAATCTTTGAAATAATCACAAGAAATATTCTTGAACAAAAATATCAAAGAGAAGAAGAAGAAATATGGACAATAAAAAAACCTAAAAGAGAGAAAGGATGTTGTGTTGTTTAATATGATAAATTTTTGTATGATTTTTATTAGGTATTAAATGAAAGTTATTTTATTGTTATTCTTATATTTTTTTTTACATTTTACTTTTTGTTATTAATTTTTTCAAATGAATTTCATAGGATTTCTTTATTTTATTGTGTTTATATCATCATAAAACTATAACTATATAAAAGATGGAATTTATTCATTTTAAAACTTGTTAGAGTAATCTAACATATAAAACAATATATAGTTTATATATACTAACTAAAATAAATATTCTAAGATGATTCTACTGAAAATAATATAGTTTATTCTTTATTACACCATTGTGTAACCAAATTTTTTAAATAAAATTAACGAGAATGATAGTTTCGTCAGTTTATTATCAGAGTTGATGAGAAAATAATATATTTATAACATAGATTTTAATAAAGCTAACTTCATCAACATTTAATAAATTGTTCTATTTTTCAAGAATTGGAATAAATAAACAATAGTTTAGTCTTCAACATATAAAGTTATATTATTGATTAGATTATAGCACTCTATTTTTAACTCTTGAAGAATAATGTTTTAGTTGTAGAGAAAATGGAATTTTGAATTATCTTTTAGACTTCTATTTAAAAAAAATGAATTGTTTTTGTTGTAATAAGACTCTTCATAGTTACCAGTTTTAATACAATAACTGAAACTATACATGAAAAGAATAATGTTTCAAGATTACTAACTAATGAATCTATTGTAGTTTATATAAATTAAATTAGTTATAAAACAAGTTTAAAAAGTATTAAGTTCATTATTATCAGAAAACTTCTTTTACTTCAATATGTGAAACATCTTTTTTCATAAATATACAAAAAAACATTAATAATAATAAAGAATTATTCAATGAGACGATAATACAATACATAAGCATCATCAGAACCAGTTGGCACTTCCTCTAACTTAGTTACTTTTTCATCATCAAATCTGTACCAATCAGTATCAACTTTACAATCAGCATAATAATGTCCTTTATCTATTTTTCCTTGATGATTCTATGATGTAAATAACATTGTTTTATAGAATAATGGAAAAGAATGAATAAGATAATAATAACAAACAACAATACCAAATAAATCATAAAGAATTGGTTCTTTAAAACTTGGATTAGAAACATATTCTTTAAGGTCAAACTTAAAAGGAGGAAATACAACACGTTCATAAGTTTTAATTTGTTCATATTTCTCTGTAAATTCAAATCTTTTTAATTGAAAAATAAGGACTTGAGGTGGACGCCAAATTGTGACATCAACTTCTGCTTTAACACTTTTTTTACAAGAGTCACAATACCAATCAATAGTTTCAAATGAGTCACCATGAGTAAATAGAGTTAAACATGCAAAAATACTTACTGCAGTAGTTTGTAATCTTTGATTATTTGTAATTTTATAACTTTCACAAATGATTTGTTCATCAATAATACCTTTTTCTTCACAGTCATAACTAACATATAACTCTTTTGTTTTTGTTATTAATTCTTCTAATTTCATATCTTCTTTTAAACTACATCCAGTACATCCAATACGTTCTCCACAAAGTTTACATTGTTTTCCTTCTTCGTCAACAATACAAATTCTACTATTACCCATTTTCATCCATTCCATCCGTTTTTCAATTTTTCTTTTTAATTCTTTAATTGTACAATGTTCTGTACAAATAAGAAATGGAATATTATGAAGAACAACAACATTTTCATTTTTTATAACTCTAATAAAGATAGTAACTTTAATTTCTTTACTCGAATCAATTTCATATCCAACAATCTTATCATAATTAATCAAACTTAACTTCCCTTCATTTATTAATCTCTTTTTTCCTTTTCCATTCTTTTGTAATACATAAAATGCTAATTGGTTTATACAAATATTAATTTCTTGATTTCCAATTGCTTTGGGTATTTGACTTTTAATTTCATTTACATCCACTGAAACATTAACAAGTACTTTACATAAAATAGGTTTTCCTTGCTTACCAACAATAATCAATGGCACAAATCCTCGTTGTCTTCCTATAGATGGAATTGTTAATGAAATACAATTAAATGGATCAAATGATTCACTTGAATATCCACATTCACAACACGTAATTTTTTGTTGTTGTTGTCCACTGAATGTATGAGTAATAATTGAATTATTTTCTTGAAGATATTTGTTCCAAATACAATCAGCAAATTCAGATGGTGTTTTCTCTAATTTAATACGTGTTGGTGTTCCAACTATTATTTCATTTGTGTTATTTCTCAATAAATCCATATTTAATTCTTCTAATAATACTAATGTAAATTCTTGTGCATCTTGTTGATTATGTCCTCTAAATTGTTCGTATTTGTCACTAATTAAATCTTTTAATGCTTTTGGGGTCACAATGACATAATCATTTGACCATAACGCTTTTACAACTGAAAAAAATGCTAAAGCGATCTTTGTCTATTAGTTTATTTATTATATTAAAAATAATTAAAACAAACGTTATTGTCATATACAGTTTTGTCACCTGGTTTTAAGTTCTTTACAAACGGCGTTGGAAATTGATACGCAAAAGACTGTATGATGTCACAATGAGCTAAACATTGTAATGGACTATTTAAATAACATGTATTTCCTAAATTATATAACCCACATGTTCCTCCTTCTATTGGATGTGGTGATCTTGAATGATCATCACAGGAACTTAAGATCCGTTTAAGATATCTTGTCATTCCTTTATTAATAATCAATAAATGATGACTTTGAAGTTTTTATATTTCATTTTTTGGTTGTTTTGCTCTCTCAATAAAAATTTTTGTTATTAATACCATCAATATTTCTTTTTTTTTGAAGATAAATTTTTAATGAAAAAAATAATAATATAATTATAATTAAATAATAAATAGACTAATTTCAAAAAAAAACTCTGTTTAAATTTCAAGTAAATTAAAGAAGTGAGATGTCAAAGAATGGGAGAATGTCAATTTCTCGAGCGAAACGATTATCAATGATTCCAACTCTATCTCTAAAAAAGACAGAGATAAGTAATGACCCAAAAAAATTTGCTCATTTATCATTCAGTGAAGAATTTCATAAGAATGTCCACGAGGAAAAAATAACAGTTGAAATTGATTTATACTTTGGTGAAAAAATTAATCACGAATCTTCGACAGGTGAAACCATTAGTAATCTAATCAAGTTTTGTGAAGCAAAATTTGATTTACCAAAAGACGAAATGGTTATGACCTACAAAGAAAATTTTTTATTACCTTGTTTATCATTGGCTGACATTCCTGATCTCCTCAACGACAAACACCCAGTAATCATAGCAATGAAGGATCCCCATTGTAAAAATTGATGTCTTTTTAAATTTTTGTGTGTATAATTTCTATAAAAAAGAAAAACATTTACAAAATTAAATCTTCGAACACTTTTTAATTATATTTTATATACTTGAGTTAATGAGTAACGACCTTGCAGTCAGTATTTGTCTTGTTGGTGGACCTGAAGTAGGAAAAACTACTTTTGTTAAAGTCGTTAAAGAATCAATCTTTAATGAAGATTATATCTCTACTATTACCAAAACATATTACGAATATGAAAGGACAGTTGACAACATTCGGTTTCATGGAAATATAATTGATTTTTCAGGACATGAACTGACTGATGGAAATAAAAGTTGTTTTCCTCAGTTTTTAGATGGAAAAATTCATATTGCTTCTGGATCTGCTTCAGATCAATCACATCAAATACACCGTCATGTCACTTCGGCAGTCAATAGAAGAAAAGGTTGAAAAACTTAAAATTTATTTAATCCTGAAAACTGATTTGGGAAAGGAATATGATTTAACCGAAGTTAAACAATTCTTTAAAAAACATAATGGAATGTTAATTCAATTAGACTGTCATGACGTTTCATCAGTAAACGAATCGTTCACACAAATATTAACTAAATAGTCAGGTAAAAAGTCTTTTTGAGAGAAAGGATTTATCAAGCATGAAAATAGGTAGTACAAGTAAAAACAAAAGAAAGGACCACAAAAGAAAAATAAAACAAAAGGTAAAGTGGTTTTTTTTTGTGTTAAGTCGAACACACATTCATTTCTTTTAAAGGGGTTTTTGAAAATATAGAGTTTTTGAATTTTTGGTTGATATATAGGAAAGGCTGGTTAAAGGTTACATAGAAAATTAACATAACCAATGAGTTAGCCAAGTTATGTAGGATTTGTAAGTAAAAAGTATTTCTATTAAAGATAGAGTTATATCAATTAATTTTAATAATAACAATAATCATTTATTGAATTAGAAATTAGATTAAAACGATTTAATGAAAATAAGTAACTGTCTCAACCTAGTCTAATTCTATTAAACCACTAATTAAGATATCTTTTCTAACATAATAGTATCTATCTTTTAAATGATAAAAGAAAAAGAGATTCTTTGAAGAAGAATAGATGATCATACAATTTACCATTTCTTTTTCTATTATTATCTTATAAAAAGAATAAAAACAGTATATTATCCTTAGAAATAAAAGTTGAGAATAAATGGTATTTAAACAGAATAATAGAGGTATAACGTTAAACCATGGAAATCTAATCAATTAACTAATAATTTATATCACTCCATACCTAAAAATAAAAAATTAACAATAATATGAAAAATGGAGAATCTATTCTATTGGTTTAAATAGATATGAAAATAAAATACCTTGTATGAGTTGAGTAGTGGCAGGACTGCAAAAGTCTAATTAAGAAGCCTTAAAAAAGTTATAATTAACAAAATATTAGTTAAATTAAAAAATAGTAAAAGTTGAAGAAGATAAGACAAAGGACAAGTCGAGTACATGACTCATCAATAGAAATGAATTTAAAGAAACATAAATGACTACAGAGACAATGACTTTCAAAAACACTTATCATAAACTGTAATAAGACTAAATTATGAGAGATAAAAACAAGTAATGAGAAATTAAAAAATAAAATGGATGAAAGAGAAGATGATATTGATTTAAAAGAAAAGAGTAAAAAAAAAGATAAAGGTGTTGATGAGGAGATAGTTAAAGTTATAGTTGGATATGCAATAAAAAAGGAAGTGAGAGAAGATTTAGTTATAGTAATTTCTACAAATAAAAGTTATGAGAAAAGGAATGTGGTAAAAGTGAAGTCAAGATATTTCAAGAAGAATAACCAAGATAAACATATTAAGAAGTGAGTTTAATGATATTGATGAAGAAAATACAAAAGAATAAAACAAAATTAAATTATAGTTTTCTGAAATACTTTTGTATAGTTTGATAATTGTTTTAATTACTTATTGTTATTTTTAAACAAAGAAAATAATAGATAATTATTGTAATATTTATAAAGTTATTCTCTTTTGATTAGAAACAGAACA